CAAAACATTGCATCGTCCAGATATTTCAGGCCCCACCGACCAGATTTCGTCTACGTATTTCAGACACCTACCGTTTAGATTGTCTAAGAATTCTGGCCTTTTTGGTCAAACAGCACCGTCCAGATATTACAAGCCCCACCGACCAGATTTCGTCTACGTATTTCAGACACCTACCGTTTAGATTGTCTAAGAATTCTGGCCTTTTTGGTCAAACAGCACCGTCCAGATATTTCAGGCCCCACCGACCAGATTTCGTCTACGTATTTCAGACACCTACCGTTTAGATTGTCTAAGAATTCTGGCCTTTTTGGTCAAACAGCATCGTCCAGATATTTCAGGCCCAACCGACCAGATTTCGTCTACGTATTTCAGACACCTACCGTTTAGATTGTCTAAGAATTCTGGCCTTTTTGGTCAAACAGCATCGTCCAGATATTTCAGGCCCAACCGACAAGATTTCGTCTACGTATTTCAGACACCTACCGTTTAGATTGTCTAAGAATTCTGGCCTTTTTGGTCAAACAGCATCGTCCAGATATTTCAGGCCCCACCGACCAGATTTCGTCTACGTATTTCAGACACCTACCGTTTAGATTGTCTAAGAATTCTGGCCTTTTTGGTCAAACAACACCGTCCAGATATTACAAGCCCCACCGACCAGATTTCGTCTACGTATTTCAGACACCTACCGTTTAGATTGTCTAAAATTCTGGCCTTTTTGGTCAAACAGCACCGTCCAGATATTTCAGGCCCCACCGACCAGATTTCGTCTACGTATTTCAGACACCTACCGTTTAGATTGTCTAAGAATTCTGGCCTTTTTTGGTCAAACAGCACCGTCCAGATATTTCAGGCCCCCACCGACCAGATTTCGTCTACGTATTTCAGACACCTACCGTTTAGAATGTCTAAGAATTCTGGCCTTTTTGGTCAAACAGCATCGTCCAGATATTTCAGGCCCCACCGACCAGATTTCGTCTACGTATTTCAGACTCCTACCGTTTAGACTGTCTAAAATTCTGGCCTTTTTTGGTCAAACAGCATCGTCCAGATATTTCAGGCCCCCACCGACCAGATTTTGTCTACGTATTTCAGACACCTACCCTTTAGATTGTCTAAGAATTCTGGCCTTTTGGTCAAACAGCACCGTCCAGATATTTCAGGCCCCCACCGACCAGATTTTGTCTACGTATTTCAGACACCTACCGTTTAGATTGTCTAAAATTCTGGCCTTTTTGGTCAAACAGCACCGTCCAGATCCAACCGACCAGATTTCGTCTACGTTTTCAGACACCTACCGTTTACATTGTCTAAAATTCCAGCCTTTTTTGTTTAAACAGTCGTCCAGATATTTCAGACCCCCACCTACTACGTTTTCAGACTCCTACCGTTTAGACTGTCTAAGAATTCTGGCCTTTTTGGTCAAACAGCATCGTCCAGATATTTCAGGCCCAACCGACCAGATTTTGTCTACGTATTTCAGACACCTACCGTTTAGATTGTCTAAGAATTCTGGCCTTTTTGGTCAAACAGCATCGTCCAGATATTTCAGGCCCCCACCGACCAGATTTTGTCTACGTATTTCAGACACCTACCCTTTAGATTGTCTAAGAATTCTGGCCTTTTTGGTCAAACAGCACCGTCCAGATATTTCAGGCCCCCACCGACCAGATTTTGTCTACGTATTTCAGACACCTACCCTTTAGATTGTCTAAGAATTCTGGCCTTTTTTGGTCAAACAGCACCGTCCAGATATTTCAGGCCCCACCGACCAGATTTTGTCTACGTATTTCAGACACCTACCCTTTAGATTGTCTAAGAATTCTGGCCTTTTGGTCAAACAGCACCGTCCAGATATTTCAGGCCCCCACCGACCAGATTTTGTCTACGTATTTCAGACACCTACCGTTTAGATTGTCTAAGAATTCTGGCCTTTTTGGTCAAACAGCACCGTCCAGATATTTCAGGCCCAACCGACCAGATTTCGTCTACGTATTTCAGACACCTACCGTTTAGAATGTCTAAGAATTCTGGCCTTTTTGGTCAAACAGCATCGTCCAGATATTTCAGGCCCAACCGACCAGATTTCGTCTACGTATTTCAGACTCCTACCGTTTAGACTGTCTAAGAATTCTGGCCTTTTTGGTCAAACAGCATCGTCCAGATATTTCAGGCCCCCACCGACCAGATTTTGTCTACGTATTTCAGACACCTACCCTTTAGATTGTCTAAGAATTCTGGCCTTTTTGGTCAAACAGCACCGTCCAGATATTTCAGGCCCCCACCGACCAGATTTTGTCTACGTATTTCAGACACCTACCGTTTAGATTGTCTAAGAATTCTGGCCTTTTTGGTCAAACAGCACCGTCCAGATATTTCAGGCCCAACCGACCAGATTTCGTCTACGTATTTCAGACACCTACCGTTTAGAATGTCTAAGAATTCTGGCCTTTTTGGTCAAACAGCATCGTCCAGATATTTCAGGCCCCCACCGACCAGATTTTGTCTACGTATTTCAGACTCCTACCGTTTAGACTGTCTAAGAATTCTGGCCTTTTTGGTCAAACAGCATCGTCCAGATATTTCAGGCCCAACCGACCAGATTTTGTCTACGTATTTCAGACACCTACCGTTTAGATTGTCTAAGAATTCTGGCCTTTTTGGTCAAACAGCATCGTCCAGATATTTCAGGCCCCCACCGACCAGATTTCGTCTACGTATTTCAGACTCCTACCGTTTAGACTGTCTAAGAATTCTGGCCTTTTTGGTCAAACAGCACCGTCCAGATATTTCAGGCCCAACCGACCAGATTTCGTCTACGTATTTCAGACACCTACCGTTTAGAATGTCTAAGAATTCTGGCCTTTTTGGTCAAACAGCATCGTCCAGATATTTCAGGCCCCCACCGACCAGATTTCGTCTACGTATTTCAGACTCCTACCGTTTAGACTGTCTTTGGCCTTTTTGGTCAAAACAGCATCGTCCAGATATTTCAGGCCCAACCGACCAGATTTTGTCTACGTATTTCAGACACCTACCGTTTAGATTGTCTAAGAATTCTGGCATTTTGGTCAAACAGCACCGTCCAGATATTTCAGGCCCCCACCGACCAGATTTTGTCTACGTATTTCAGACACCTACCGTTTAGATTGTCTAAGAATTCTGGCCTTTTTGGTCAAACAGCACCGTCCAGATATTTCAGGCCCAACTGACCAGATTTCGTCTACGTATTTCAGACACCTACCGTTTACATTGTCTAAGAATTCTGGCCTTTTTGGTCAAACAGCATCGTCCAGATATTTCAGGCCCCCACCGACCAGATTTCGTCTACGTATTTCAGACTCCTACCGTTTAGACTGTCTAAGAATTCTGGCCTTTTTGGCCAAACAGCATCGTCCAGATATTTCAGGCCCAACCGACCATATTTTGTCTACGTATTTCAGACACCTACCGTTTAGATTGTCTAAGAATTCTGGCCTTTTTGGTCAAACAGCATCGTCCAGATATTTCAGGCCCCCACCGACCAGATTTTCTCTACGTATTTCAGACACCTACCGTTTAGATTGTCTAAGAATTCTGGCCTTTTGGTCAAACAGCACCGTCCAGATATTTCAGGCCCAACCGACCAGATTTCGTCTACGTATTTCAGACACCTACCGTTTAGAATGTCTAAGAATTCTGGCCTTTTTTTTTGGTCAAACAGCATCGTCCAGATATTTCAGGCCCCCACCGACCAGATTTCGTCTACGTATTTCAGACACCTACCGTTTAGACTGTCTAAGAATTCTGGCCTTTTGGTCAAACAGCATCGTCCAGATATTTCAGGCCCCACAGACCAGATTTTGTCAACGTATTTCAGACACCTACCCTTTAGATTGTCTAAGAATTCTGGCCTTTTGGTCAAACAGCATCGTCCAGATATTTCAGGCCCCCACCGACCAGATTTTGTCTACGTATTTCAGACACCTACCCTTTAGATTGTCTAAGAATTCTGGCCTTTTGGTCAAACAGCATCGTCCAGATATTTCAGGCCCCACCGACCAGATTTTGTCTACGTATTTCAGACACCTACCCTTTAGATTGTCTAAGAATTCTGGCCTTTTTGGTCAAACAGCATCGTCCAGATATTTCAGGCCCCCACCGACCAGATTTTGTCAACGTATTTCAGACACCTACCCTTTAGATTGTCTAAAATTCTGGCCTTTTTGGTCAAACAGCATCGTCCAGATATTTCAGGCCCCCACCGACCAGATTTTGTCTACGTATTTCAGACACCTACCGTTTAGACTGTCTAAGAATTCTGGCCTTTTGGTCAAACAGCATCGTCCAGATATTTCAGGCCCCCACCGACCAGATTTTGTCAACGTATTTCAGACACCTACCGTTTAGACTGTCTAAGAATTCTGGCCTTTTTGGTCAAACAGCATCGTCCAGATATTTCAGTCCCCACAGACCAGATTTTGTCAACGTATTTCAGACACCTACCCTTTAGATTGTCTAAGAATTCTGGCCTTTTGGTCAAACAGCATCGTCCAGATATTTCAGGCCCCCACCGACCAGATTTTGTCAACGTATTTCAGACACCTACCCTTTAGATTGTCTAAGAATTCTGGCCTTTTTGGTCAAAACAGCATCGTCCAGATATTTCAGGCCCCCACCGACCAGATTTTGTCAACGTATTTCAGACACCTACCCTTTAGATTGTCTAAGAATTCTGGCCTTTTGGTCAAACAGCATCGTCCAGATATTTCAGGCCCCCACCGACCAGATTTTGTCTACGTATTTCAGACACCTACCCTTTAGATTGTCTAAGAATTCTGGCCTTTTTGGTCAAACAGCATCGTCCAGATATTTCAGGCCCCCACAGACCAGATTTTGTCAACGTATTTCAGACACCTACCCTTTAGATTGTCTAAGAATTCTGGCCTTTTTGGTCAAACAGCATCGTCCAGATATTTCAGGCCCCCACCGACCAGATTTTGTCTACGTATTTCAGACACCTACCGTTTAGATTGTCTAAGAATTCTGGCCTTTTTGGTCAAACAGCACCGTCCAGATATTTCAGGCCCAACCGACCAGATTTCGTCTACGTATTTCAGACACCTACCGTTTAGAATGTCTAAGAATTCTGGCCTTTTTGGTCAAACAGCATCGTCCAGATATTTCAGGCCCCCACCGACCAGATTTCGTCTACGTATTTCAGACACCTACCGTTTAGACTGTCTAAGAATTCTGGCCTTTTTGGTCAAACAGCATCGTCCAGATATTTCAGGCCCCCACAGACCAGATTTTGTCAACGTATTTCAGACACCTACCCTTTAGATTGTCTAAGAATTCTGGCCTTTTTGGTCAAACAGCATCTTCCAGATATTTCAGGCCCCCACCGACCAGATTTTGTCTACGTATTTCAGACACCTACCGTTTAGAATGTCTAAGAATTCTGGCCTTTTTGGTCAAACAGCACCGTCCAGATATTTCAGGCCCAACCGACCAGATTTCGTCTACGTATTTCAGACACCTACCGTTTAGAATGTCTAAGAATTCTGGCCTTTTTGGTCAAACAGCATCGTCCAGATATTTCAGGCCCCCACCGACCAGATTTGGCTTTCTACTACTTCTCGCTTTGAAAAAAAACATGACATTACCTCCTATACTTTAAATCCTCTATAGTCCCCGATTTAGCTCTAGTTTGACAGCAAAGTCTAATCAATTCACAGTTGAATTGGCGAGATCTAACCGTAAGTTCTTTGCTAAAAGTTTCTTTTCTCACACTTCTCACTTGTGGAATTCTCTTCCCGATTCTTGCTTTCCAGTTTGATCTTAGGAAATTTAAATGCAATACCAATCGTTATCTGCTGTCCTCTTGATTACTCGCTCCTTAATAATGTTTCTCTTTTTTCTTATTCTTTCACACTCAGTAACACCTTGTGTCTTAGTGGCTTTACTGCCTTGCATGGGGTGATATGATTTTTGAAAAAGTTTACATTTTTAATAGTAAATTTTCAAAAAATCGTATATATACATTACAGTATGCTGTATTTCAAGTATTGAATTAACTTCATGAAATTTTCGCTAATATCATTTTATTGTGTCCACAAACCTCTCAAAGAAAGTAAGCACAGCAGAATACAAAGGATTAAAGAAAAATACTTGGTTGGATGCTATTTATAATTTTACTCTTCGTAGCAATACTGATAGTATTATAACAATATCTGTAAACTAGAGGTAAATAGATTGAATTTACTAACCTTTCTTTCAGTTCCATGATTTTGGTGTAAAGCAGACTGCATTCTTTGGATTTATTTTGCTTTGCTTGATTCTCATTGTAATATTTCATCACGGCACGTTCACGTTTCTGGTCGTTCTCACGAATAAATCTCTCGAACTTTGTAACGCGGTCTTTCATCTGCATTAATGACAGGGGGGAAAAAAGCTTGAAACATGAGATAAGTTCATCCTATTCATTAAAGACAGTTTTCTATTGAATTTGTTTGTAAACATTCGTTCATTGCAGTAATTTAACAGACGTAGATTATTTAGTCTGAAATCACAATAGTAATTAAATCCCTATGACGATTGAATACATAGATAGGTAGATCTGGATAGCTTCATAATATATATATTCCCATACTCCATACTTTATACTTCTCCAATTCACTCTCGTGTGGTCATGTGTGACGTCATGAGATGTGGTGCGATTTTCGCTTCTAGCGTCTTATATACGCATGTTTATCGTTGCTTAGAAATCATCTATGTAAACAATGACAGACTATCATCACTGTCTTGTCCGTATATTGTTTAATATGTTGTAATTGACGTCTTTGATAATGGCTTATGTAAGCCGAAAGCTTAGATTGTATGCAAAAAAAATATGGATCAATATTGTGAATTTCTTTCTTCGTTCAACGATAACGTTATTAAACTTATCAGACGTTACGAAAAAATTTTACATAAAATAAATAGACAACACTTGTCTATATTATTTAATGAAACGTGAATATATATATATATATATATATATATATATATATATATATATATATATATAAAAAAAATATGTTGTAGTGGGTTCCAACGAGAGAAAAGTATGTATATTAAAAAAGAAATGCCGCAAACGTTTTGGTTGTAATGTGGATTTATTGAGAAAAAATATTATACTTTGTTTTACATAATTTCACGACACGTGTTTCTGGTCTGGTCTCGCAACCGTCTTCAGGTGAATATTCCACATTTTTAATATTATTAAAAAAATTAATTTTTTTCATAATCAATGTGGAATATTCTCGATATGAGAAGACAATTCTAGAAAAGAAAATTCAGAACCAGAAACAGAATGTCTCATATCGAAATTATTCCAAAACAAAGTAAAATATTTTTTTCAATAAAAATCCACATTACAAACCAAAAAACGTTTGAAATTATGCAAAACAAAGTATCTTTCTTTTAATATATATATATATATATATATATATATATTTTTAGGTGTAAAGACAATAGGAAAACTGTATTATTAGCGTCGCCTAATAATACAGTTTTTCTATTGTCTTTACCTTTATACATATTGCCTTTTTTTACAGGTTAACTCTGAGAAATTTTTCATATATATATATATATATATATATATATATATATAAAAAAGACTTAAACACTAATATTCCATGGTTATAATTTAATACATTGGAATCTTAAAGACGATCCAATTCATCAGACCTACAAATTCAAAAAGAAATCAGAAAAAATAACTCCGGGAATAAAAAGATAAAATTTAGTGAGAGTGTATGCATGAGAGTGGGGGACGAATGTGAGAGGTAAATGAAAGTTCTAGAGAGGGGGGTAACAGACGAGAGAAGAACAAGAAGGTCTAAAAGTGAAGGTGGGGATTAAAATTTAACAGAGAGAAGTTTTAAAGAGAGGGTTTAAAAAACTGTTTAAATGAGTGAGATACAGATAAAGTTGAATTAATTTTCCGGTGCATATTTCATTCCCGAATCGCTGACCTAAATTAATTTAAAAACTGACACCGGAAATGGACTTATACAAATGACATTACGCACAATAATCTAAACTTAAAAATCAGAAGATGAGAAAAGAAAAGAAAAGAAAACCAAGGGGAAAGATGGAGGCGGGGGGGGCAACTAAAACCGAAGGGCATTTATAAAAGAGCCATTGTACAATCAAGAAAATTTGACAAAGGTAATATCACCTACAGGTATATGTATGTATGTATATTATTTTATTTATATATATATATATATATATATATATATATATATATATATATATATATATATATATATATATATATATATGTATATTAACCACTAATACTATCTCTCTCTCTCTCTCTCTATATATATATATATATATATATATATATATATATATATATAAAAAAAATATATACGGAAAAAACAAACAAAAATCCTTATATACAATTTATACTGTTTTAATGTTAATATGTCAACGTCAGGACGTGTCGGTCTAATAAACCATTTTCAGGACATATTAGACCGAAACATCCGACGTTGACATATTAACATTAAAACAGTATAAATTGTATATAAGGATTTTTGTTTGTTTTTTCCGTATATATTTTTCTTCATACTGTCGGATCTATATCCATATATTTGCTTACATATATATATATATATATATATATATAAGCAGATTACAACAAAAACATGTAAGGATCGCTATACAATTGCAGTCATGTTTCAACGCATAATAACGCGACTCCTCGGGCGATTATAGATTACTGGTGAGTGAACGATTCATTTGGTTTCAAAAGTAAAATATATTTTCATTTAATGAAAAAAAAATATTATAGAATAAAAAATAAAGGCAATAGGGTTTTAACTTGATCAAACCAGTCGACTATGACTTGCGTTAAATTCAAATTAAACGAAAAAGAAAAAATTACAAATTATTATCTTACAAATGTGTCAAGGCAAAAAATTGGCATCTAACAGCAGCCAGAAATTAACTTAAAGACCAACAAATGGTTGGTAACAAATTGTTACAATAAATGTACACATGGCAGTAATTAAGAGGTGATTCCACACACCTCAAATCCTTCCCATCAGAGTCCACGCTACCGGATGTAGTTATATGCAACCGGAAGCTTTTACAAAGTTTTGAATAAGATGCTATCAACTTTTAACGGTTGACAACCAAGGCGGTCATTAACATCTCCGCCACTTCTGATATATGAAAGCTAAAAGTACACCAACATTTGAAAATTTATATTTAAATATCTACTGAAACCTACAGAATGGTCCGAAAAATAATAAAAACCCATAACCAATTTAACTAATATATATATATATATATATATATATATATATATATATATATATATATATATATATATATATATATATATATATATATATATATATATAGAAAATGGACAAAGTCCGACAATTTATTTATGAAAGACATTTTTATGTTTAACGTTCTTTTTTTATAGATACAAGCATTTAAGTAAATGCTCTGTTGATAATAAACAGCATTAAATAACGCTCCTTTTTGGCCGAGAGGTGAGGCACGTCAGCGTAATTGACGGTTCCGTATAGGATGCAGGTTCGAATCCTGTCAAAGGACGAATATTTTATATGAAAATTTCTCGGACATTCAGGCCGGTAAATGTTATTTAATATTGTTTATTATAAACAGAGCTTTTACTTAAATACTTGTATCTATAAAAAAGAACGTTAAACATAAAAATGTCTTTAATAAATATATATAGTGAGAGAGAGAGAGAGAGACTATTTACATTATTCGGATTATTGTCCTCATTTTTGTTACCATATTTATCACAAAGTTTCGGCCGTTGTACGCTCCGGCCTTCTTCAGGTGGTTGGAATGTCGAATTGAACCCTTTATTTCGCTCACTGAGGTAGACAGTCTAGTTCCACGTGCCATGTCTAATGGATGTCAGTTATCAGTTATCTCCTGTTAATTCCCCTCTCCAAGTTCTCCACTGCCTTAACCAGGTATTGAACTCACACTCTTTGGGTCCTGTCACTGGATCTAACTAACGCCTTTATCCACTGTGCCATGTATCCTTGAGGACGTTGTGATAAATATGGCAGCAAAGATGAGGACAATAGTCCGAATAATGTAATTAGTGTACATAACACCTCATCTCAGATATATATATATATATATATATATATATATATATATATATATATATATATATATATATATATATTGTATTTAGCTAGCAGTCCTTCTTTTATGCTAGTTTCATTAAATATGGCAGACAAGGTGCTTTAAGTTTTTTATATAATTTCTCATGTGATTTTTTAGCCTTTTTTGACATGTAAACGATGCTATTATATCTGTATTATCGACAAGTATATTATAAATAGTCTCCAGTAGGTCTCCATGAGTATTTAAATGAGACCTAATTGAGCTATGATCAGAAAGATGTAGTGCGAGTCTTCTTGTTATACATGTTGTGGTGTGGTCTATATAATTGTTTACGAATTTTGATTGAACATGCACACAATTTCTTAATGGACATTTAAATTCGTAAATAATATTTGTATTTAATTTTGATCTAAGAGGTGAATTATTGTTTTTAATTATAAGGTTGGCGGTTTTAAATTTTTTGTAATAAATAATTAGTTCCTTTTTTCCCTTTTCTACAGGTTCTGTGCATTTTTATAATGTACGATATATATATATATATATATATATATATATATATATATATATATATATATATATATATATATATATATATACAGGTGAGAAAAATACATGAAAATTACAATAATTTTACGTGTTTTTCCGGCTGGCAGATCTTTTGCAAAAAGCTCTCAATAGATAACTAAATCTACAATATTAGAATATATTTTGAAATATTCTGCCATATTTAATGAAATATACTTGTTGATAATACAGATATAATAGCATCGTTTACATGTCAAAAAAGGCTAAAATAATCGAAGCCTTATTAATAAAAGCAAAAAAAACAAAAAAAAAACAAGACTCAATAATATCCAAAATTTTTAAGCTTAGGAACGTTCATAATTTATTCTTCAGGTTAACTAAATAGCCAGGTAAGTTATGAAAGGCACGATGTAACACAGTTCAATACCTAATAAAGGAAAACGAGTAAGGAATGATTTTTAATTATTTTTTATGCAAATTAATATTTAAATTATTTTAGTTTGGGATTAATTTATTTAATAAATTTTGAATAATATGATGTTAAGAATTTAACCGTTTTCTTTTAAGTTTTTAACATTTTTATAGTCATGCATCTTGGCTTTCGAAAGTAGTAATTCTTTCAGGAATTGAGATGATGGAAACAAATCTGGGGCGCAGATTTATATTTTGATAAGATTCCATAGTGGCACTCTCAATAATTTTCATTCTAAGTAAGTTACTTTCTCTTTTAATAAGCGTGATATTCTTTAAATCAAATGTGTGGTTGAATTATTTCTATGTATAACTAATGCACTTGATAAATTGTTGTGTGTAAGATGCCTTTTGTGTTCAGAGATACGTTTTTTTTTTAATTTCTGCAAGTTTCACCAATGTATTTTAAAGAACAGTTCTGGTAATTTATTTTATATATACCGGCTTCAGAACCAAAAGTTCCCATAACAATAATAATTCTGAAGCAGGTTTATATAAAATAAATTTTCATTTTATCTCAAACACATCGTCTGTCCTGAAAATATGCAGACGTCAACGACAAACAGCTTCCTGCCAACATTGTTAAAGGTACCTTCGTCCATCTCAATTGACTCGCCTTGAAATATCACACGTTTCCACTTTTGAATACACTCCGAAAAGTCATCTTTTCAGGATCACTATCTTGTTACCTTCTCCTTAATCTCGCCTACAGCGTTTTAAAAATCAATTTTAACTTTGGTAAAAGTGAGAAATCGCTGGAAATTAAATATGAACGATAGTAGTGACCTGGATGATTAGATGTTTTTGTAAAAATAAATAAAAATACCACGTAGGATGCATGAAGAATATTGGCGCGATCTTTGTGAATGTGAAGATTACGCAGTAAGTAAAGTTACTAGACAGCTTCTCAGTACCGAGCGATCAAAGTGTCTGCCCAGACAAGTTCAATAAAGTGCCGTCTAAACTTTTGCAGAGTTACACCTGAAAGCCGCCTGGCCCCTGCACAGGATTTCGTTTCGTCTCGACGATACGAAAGCCTTTGGTGTCGTCACTTGGCGATGTTTTTTCTTGTTTTTTTTTTATCTTCACGGCTATCGCATGTTGACACCAACAAGCACGTCTCACTCTGGTTTAAATAAGATAATTTGCACACACCTAACATTTATTTATCCATCGATATGGTATTTGTTTTAATCATTTCACCCTCTTCGTCTACCGCAAGGAAAGTTGGCTCCCTGTACCGCGCTAGGAAATTTTTCTCCCTGAATCGATCCTTCAAATCTACAAATCAACCATTCGCCTCTGCATGGAGTATTGCTGCCTTATATGGTCTGGAGCCCTTTCTGTCTGCCTCGGGGGTTCTTGATATGATCCAGAGACGGATATGCAATGCAATTGGCCCTACTCTGGCATCTCGTCTGCAGTCGCTCTCTCACAGACGTGCCGTCACCTCTCTCTGTCTTTTCTACAAATATTTTCATGGTAATTGCTCCAAGGAGCTGCTTTCGCTGGTCCACAGGCTTCATGAATTCAAGCGTCCTACGAGACTTGCATCCCTCTCTCACTCTTTCACTGTTGGAACTATTAAATGTCGCCGTCTCTTCTACTTCAATAGCTTCATATCTCGCACCTCTCGCCTGTGGAATACCCTTCCCTTTTCCTGTTTCCCTGATAGCTATAATCTCCAACTATTCAAATGTAATGTCAATAGACATCTCCAATTGCCCTGATCTATCCCCTATCCTTCTCTTCATCCTTTCTTCTATCACTCCTATCTGCTCTCGCTTCAAATCCTATGTAACCCCTTGTGTGCTAGTGGATTACAGCCTTGCTTGGGGTGAAATGCTTATAAAAAAAAAAGGAAGAAGTAAAAGCGGGAATGCCACTGATAGACAGGGAGGGGGATTACAGAGAGTGAAGATTAGAGAAAAGACTGGGTATGTGGTATGGCACAGTGACCCAACTTTCCTTGCAGTAGATGCAGCTATAGTACTTTAAATAAACCATAGCAAGAATTCTTCTTTGGAATTTAGGAAATTTTAGAAAACAATCAATCTTGCCATACTGCGCCGGAGACAACTGGTTAAGTTGGGGAATATTTTTTTATCATTTCACCCCATGTAAGGCAATAATGCCACTACAACGCAAAGGCTTACTGAGTGTTAAAGAATATGAGAAAAACTACTGTACAGGAGAGATGACAATAAAAGAATAAGATGACAGAAGATAACGATTGACATTGCATTGAAATTGACTGGGAAGTAAAAAAAACCGCAAGAGAATCCCACAAGCGAGAAGTGCGATAGAAGTAACTTTCAACACAGAAATTGCGGTTATATTTAGCCGTTTTAACTGTAAAATTATGAGATCTTGCCGCCAATCTAGTACTGTACTTAAATTCATAAAGTCTATGTACAATAGCAGAAAGTTCAATTAAACAATTACCATGAAATTATTTATAGAAAAGAGGCAGAGAAGTTACGTTACGGCGGTAGGAAAGGAACTGAAGTCGAGATGCCAGGTTAGCACCAATAATAGTGCAGATTCTTCTTTGGATTTTAACAAGTATCTCTATATAGCAGGAGCACTAGAGCAAATGTAGTAGCAATATTCAAAGCACGGACGAATGGTAGACTTATAAATATGTATGACTAGCAGCCATACGCAGCTGGTCGAGCAGAAAATGTGTTTAATTAGAATGAAGCAAACACAGCATCATGTTTAGATGTAACAGAGTCTATCTTCTTTAATTACTTTAAAGTACTTTCATTAAAAACATTTTGAATTAATGCAGTTACTGATATAACAGAAGTAGAATTCAATTGAAGTTAGCCGAGGACATAAAGGGGTAAAACAGGCAACATGAAGAACACTTCAGGCCACAATTATTTTGGAGTTTTTGAAATTCAATTTAGCAGTGTGCTCCTAGGGATGTAAAAGAGGATACATTTATAAAGCAATTCTTAAGTGTGATGAAAATTTATTAAAAGATCAACGAAAAAATAAGAAAGAAACCAGTAAAAAACGCCATTTTTCGCTATTTACGCGAGTTTTCACTATATGAATGGACTCAATTATCAAGTTAAAAGACTGTTAAACAATCAACGTGTTGTTGGCTATAATTGAGCGGAGTTTGTATTAGATTGCTTGAAAATTAAGGGTGTTTTTAGTTTAAAATTTGTGTTGAAATAGATTTTTTGTTTTTCGTAGTTTTTCGCTAAACGCAGTGGTGTAGAAATAAAAACGAGATATCGTTGAGCTCGTCATGATGTAAGTAACCTACATACCGAGCTCAAACGAAATCGGAGGAAAAAAAAATTGAATTTATCGATTTTTGATCGGCTTTATCGATTGTTGATTTTTTTTTAATTATCGATTTTTTACGCTAAGAACCTATCTCTTACATTGTATGTGCCAAGTTTGGTCAAAATCGGTTGGATGGATCTCGAGTGAAAGGTATCACACAGACAGACACACACACAGACATCCTCTGTTTTATATATATCGATAGATTCTGGCAAGAAAAACTGTCTAATATTAATGAATTCCACTTGGTTTATTCCAGACTCTAAACTTTCTATCCCTTCACCAAATTCATTTTATGATTTCTAATTATTATTTTACACCCGTTCTTTCTTTCTTTCTTTCTTTCTTTCTTTCTTTCTTTCTTTCTTTCTTTCTTCTTCACTGGTTAATCTTAATCTTCAAATAGTCATTATTCATTATTATGCATTAAAACGTTGAACAAGTTTTACAATCCTGTTACACACATTCTTGCAATAAAAAGTTTTACATCAAGGCTGATTTTTCTATTGATTTTTCTCTGTTTGTCTATATTTCTGAAACGAGGTATTATGTACATTCTTTACATTATTCGGATTATTGTCCCCATCTTTGTCGCCATATTTATCCCAACGTTTTGGCCCTTCAGTATCTGTCTATATTTCTGAGATGAGGTATTATGTACATTATTTACATTATTCGGCTATTGTTCTCATCTTTGTTGCCATATTTATTACAACGTTTCGACCGTTGTACGCTCCGGCCTTCTTCAGGTGGTTGGAATGTCCTCAAGGAGACATGGCACAGTGGATAAAGGCGTTGGTTAGATCCAGTGACAGGACCCAAAGAGTGTGAGTTCAATACCCGGTTAAGGCAGTGGAGAACTTTCAGAGGGAAACTAACAGGAGATAACTGATACCTGACATCCATTAAACATGGCACGTGGAACTAGAACAGTCTACCCCAGTGAGCGAAATAAAGGGTTCAATTCGACATTCCAACCACCTGAAGAAGGCCGGAGCGTACAACGTCCGAAACGTTGCAATAAATATGGCAACAAAGATGAGGACAATGAAGGCTTTATTTATTTACCGTTTTCCATTCACATGTCCTTTTTTTTCTCTTCCTCTCCGCTGCTTTTTTTTCCAAATTCCTTCCCATCTTGTAATATTACCAGTTACGTTTCTTTGTCAGAATGTGCGACCGATACAACACTCTGATCCTAGAAAGAATGGTTGTAACAGTCGTATATACATACCAAGCAGTAGAGCTTCTTGGTCAAAATGTGTGACAGATTTCAGTTTAAAAAAAATAAACATCGGTCGGACAGATACTGCACTATGATCCTAGGTATAAAAGCGTAATAACTGTATATACAATCAAAAAGAATAAGAATATCTCGTGAATGTTTTATGCCTACTTTTTGTCGTTTCTCTTCTAGTGCTGACCTCCTCTGAGCGAAACCATCCATTCGGGTTTCAAATTCACGTCGCTTTTCAGTGAGTTGCTGCTTCATACAAGCAATGGTTTTCTCTTTTTTGACCAGGAGCTGGCGCTGCAGCGTCTTCTTGGCATCAGTAGCAAATGCTCGAAATTTTTCATCTTCATCCCTGAAGTGAGAACGGCAAGTTTTTTTGGATAATTTTAAAATGTTAAAAATAAATCGAAAAAAATGCATTTCAAGAAGAAAGAAAGAACAGGATATAAAAGAAAGAAAGAAAGAAAGAAAGAAAGAAAGAAAGAAAGAAAGAAAGAAAGAAAGAAAGAACAGGATATAAAAGAAAGAAAGAAAGAAAGAAAGAAAGAAAGAAAGAAAGAAAGAAAGAAAGAACAGGATATAAAAGAAAGAAAGAAAGAAAGAAAGAAAGAAAGAAAGAAAGAAAGAAAGAAAGAAAGAAAGAAAGAACAGGATATAAAAGAAAGAAAGAAAGAAAGAAAGAACAGGATATAAAAGAAAGAAAGAAAGAAAGAAAGAAAGAAAGAAAGAAAGAAATATTCATTGATTTGCTTTTTACGTCTTATCAACCGTTTGTGGACTATTTAAAGCCTAAATATATTTTGAGGTTTTAAGAATCTCTTTTCGTTTTGCCAGTGAATAATGCATTAACAACATTTGACAATAGCATGTTTTTTTGTTTTTTCAGATACAAGTTCTACTAACTAGTCCATAGCTGGAGATGGATTCATACCTTTTCCAAGGGTATTTGCGCATATGGTAATGTAAAAGAAAGAAAGAAAAAGATACTTTAATTTGTCATTTATTAAGCTTAACTTGGCTCAAGGACACAAGTACGAGGCACCCAGTGAAGATCCAACTCTTGTTTCAGCAGTAATATTGTAGTGATGACTAAAATTTAAAAAATTCACATTTCATCATAAGTAAAAACAGAAACAACTTTAGAGTATACCGAACAAGGAAAAGCACTAAGCCATAAAGTCATATTTCCACGAACGTATAAAGAACATGATCTGCTTCCAACAAGTCACAGTCTCGCGAAGTTTAGCGGTAATTTCTTTGTTAAAAAAATAAACCTATATTACTTTGTTCAACAATAAACCTATCAGTTCTGCGGAGCCGGCTATCGTCGTAATACACCACTGGGCCAAATGGCCTAGACATACATTCAACGACGAAATTATTCGTACACCCGTCAGTTTTCAATATTTTTATCCGTTTCTCAGAATCTAATGCTCGTATGGTGCCAAGTTTTTTATGTGTTAATAAGCACAAGAAAAAGGAATATAAAAAGATAAGTTTTTCTTTGCCAACGCGTTTCGTCCTCCGATGTAAATGCAAGGATTTTATTTTGTAACATGTATTAAACTCGGTTAAACATCTCACCTCGCAGGGCCTTTTTTCTAAATAAGTAACATAACTTTTGCTTCTCTAGGTCGTGTTAACTATTATTGCTGAAAGAGTCTATCAAGCTTTAGACAAGAATGGTAAAGCTCGGGCTGTTGCTTGGAATATCTCGAAAGTATTTGAGTTTGGCATACTGTTTTTCACAATTTGAAAAGTTAGGGTATTTCTGGCCGAATTTTTTGAACTGATTCAATCTTTATTATCAAATCTCTAAATGAAAGTTGTCTTGAATGTCCATTCTTTTAGATATTTTTCCATAAATGCAGGTGTTCTCCAGGGTTCTATCCTTGGAATTACTTTGTTCTTAGTTTTTATAAATGACTTTCCTGATGTCATCAATTCTCCACTCGATATCTGTGCTGATGACATAACTATTTACTCCTGTCTTAAAAGTAAGTCTGGTCGATTCCATAAGATCAAATTGGCAGCTGACCTCAAAAATGACCTACAATCTTTTTTAAATGTGAGCAAGGCTTGACTTGTGAATTTTAATACTTCAATAACTAAACTGCTCTTGTCTGAGAAAACTCTTTTATCTTTAATTGTCTGAGAAAACTCTTTTACCTTCAATCATCATGGCTGATGCTAAACCCCAGGAGAGTGAAACATGGCGCCTTCTCGAACAAACGTTTTCTGCTGACAAAAAGTGGAAAGAGTATGTTGAACCAATTGAGAATTCTGCAGATAGGAATTTTGATTCACTGTGTCGTGCCAGAAATTCTTCTCTACAGACTTTATCTTACATATTTATAAGTCAACCATTCGTTCTTGCTTGATTTTATCAAAAACTTTAAATATATATCAGGAGCACGAGACTAAATGAGGAAGCAATATTCAAAGTTCTTGATAAAATCCAAAGAAGAATCTGCAATGTCATCGGTCCTGACCTGGCATCACGGCTTCAGTCACTTTCCCATCCCCATAACGTAGCTTTCTTGTGTCTTTTTTGTCAATACTCTAATGGTAATTATTCTGATTAAATTTCTCCGACTGTACCTAACCTTTATGAATTTAAGCGCAGTACTAGATTAGCGGCAAGATCTCATCATTTTACAGTTGAAATAGCTAGATGTAACCGCAAGTTCTATGTTGACAGTTTCTTCTGTCGTACTTCTCGCTTATGGAACTCTCTTCCGACTTTGATCTTCAAAAATTTCAATGCAATGTCAATCGTTATCTTCGGTCTTCTTAATTCTTGTTCTTTTATTATCGTCTTTCTTTCATATTTTCTAACATTCAGTAACTCCTTGCATCCTAGTGGCTTTATTGCCTTAAATTGGGTGAAATGATTAAAAAAAAATCCTCAGTTACCTCCGGTGCACTATGACTAGATTGATGATCTAAAACTTCACAAATTCCAAAGAAGAGTTCTTGCTATGTGTCTTTAAAGTACTATCAGAACTTTCAAACGTTCATTTTTCTCATATTCTGTAACATTCAGTAACCCACTTCCGTCCTAGTGGCTTTATTGCCTTGATTGAGGTGAAATGATTAAAAAAAATATTTATAAAGAGAAGTCAAAATATCGGTACGTTGTCGAAATTTTTAAATTTAAAAATGCTCACACACAGACAGATACATATATAAGCATATAAAATTTAATTAAAAATTAATTCTTCATATATATATATATATATATATATATATATATATTGAGCAATGAATCAATTGTCGCCATTTTATATTTTTAATTTTACCCATGCGCGGTGATATATTTTGATTTTGTAGACTGAACAGTATAATAGGGTCAGTTGGGCACCGTTTGTGAGAATAAGAGCATCAGAATGCAATTCACTCCGCTAGAAATTTAGAAATGGCATGCTGTACGAACGCTCCAATACGAACATTTCAGATTGTTTGGTTGTCAATCTGAGTAGAGTGCAAAGGATTCGAAAAGAGTTGGATGAGTCTAATGGTGATTACGAAGGTACGGTAGCTCGGAAAACTCACCCTGATCGTTCTGATAAGAAAAGAATTCCGAATTTTTTGATGAGGGCCTCAGACTCAACTCGGAGGTTTACAGGTAGTGCTGATCAGGGTCAAGAGGGTGGCTGCTGAAAGACCCTATGTCAGCTCTCAACTTGGTATCTATTTCCTCATGTCTCGATACTAAGTCTGACTAGTTCGATATGATCAAATTGGCAGCTGATCTAAAAAAATAATCTACAATCGCTGTTAACTCGAGCAGTGAATAACTTTTTAATTTGAACGCTTCCAAAACGAAAATTCTTACTAGTAATCATGCGAGAGATCCGTTTCTGACTGTCATTAGCATGGGTGATGTTAATCTACAGGAGTGTGACTCGTTGCGGCTTATTGGGCTAACATTCTCGGCTCAAAGGAAGTGGAAAGATTATATTGAATCCATTGCTAAGTCTTCTGCCAAGAAAGGTTTTCTCTCCAGAATCTATCTTACATATTTATAAGTCTACCATTCGCCTATACTTTGAATATTGCTAATGGATATAGTCTGGTGGTCTTGCTATATATTTAGAAATTCTTGATAAAATCCAAAGAATCAGCAATATTATTGGTTCTGATCTGGCATCTCGGCTTCAGTCACTTTCTAACCGCCGTAATGTAACCTTTTCTATAAATACTTTCATGGTAATTGTTTGGATGAACTTTCCTATACGGTACCTAGACTTTATGAATTTAAGCGTAGAACTTGATTGGCAAAATCTTTCATCAATTTACAGTTGAATGGCCAGATGTAACCGTAAGTTCTATGCTAAAAGTTTCTTCTATCGTACTCCACGCTTGTGGAACTCTCTTCCAGCTTCCTGCTTCCAAGTCAAGTTTGGTCTTCAAAAATTTAAATACAGTATCAATCGTAATCTACAGCTTTTTGATTCCTCTTTTATCTTTCTCACTTCTTAATGATTTTCTCTTTTTGTCATTATTTTCCCACTCAGTTACCACTTTTGGCTTTATTGCCTTGGATGGGGTGAAATGATTACACACACACACATATATATATATATATATATATATATATATATATATATATATATATTATTGTTATGGGATTTTACCCATAATAATAATAATAATGGACTATTCCATACTTAATAAATACTGCGCCTCAGAAGTAGGCAAGGAGTCGCTCGCTCAACTTTCTGAGCGAGTGTTCGGTTCACTTCTCTGTCTACGGACGGAGAGGAACCCGAAGGAGGCTACGCCGAAGGGCGCAGTCTCCTTCGGGGAGGTAAAACCGGCCCTGAACCCGTTTATGCGGGTTCAAATGGGCTATTTTTTGGCCGAGCCTAATGGCTCGGGAATGCCCACGTTAAAAATGCCTTGTGCCACATGACACCCTCGTGGGGGGGGTGACTGAATATCGTCAGTAGTTCAAGTCGAGTCAAGAGTCGAATCAGAGGCAGTCCGAAACAGAGTCGCGTTCAGACAATTACTACTAGACCTGATTGTTCATACGAACAATTCTACTTCTCTGTATATATTCCTGTTTGTAATATATCTGTGTTATTCCATACCTGTGTTCGAGTTCTTCTTTATTGGTTCTACCTTGGACTATCACCGTGGCACAAGGAACCGGACCATAACACATATATATATATATATATATATATATATATATATATATATATATATATATATCCATTCAAGTGATAGTTTATTACGTGGTCTCAGCCAGCGGTTCATATCTTCAGACCAAATTTTACAAAATAAATTTATAATCAAGGGTGTTGCAGGCTGGAGAGTTAGGTGGCCAGATGCGAGAGGTGATGTGGTTGTAGAAATTGCCTGACAGCCATAAAAAGGTTCTCCTGCATGTGTGTGAGAGAAATGTTGTCAAACATAGGGTCTTTCAGCATCCATCCTCTTGAGCAAGGGCAGTACTACCTGTAAACCAAGAAGGTCATTGATGAAACTTAAGAACAAAATAGGTCCTATGATAGAGCCCAGTGTTAGTACATATAGATCAAGAAGAGTGGCCAGTCAAGACAACTTTCATTTCATGATTTGATAAGAAAGCCTGAATCAGTTCAAAAATTCATCCAGAAATAACATAACTTTACGATTTGTGAAGAAGCCCTTTATACCAAACCCTGTCGAACGCTAGTTGCATTTTATATAATAAAATAATAAAATAAATAAAATAAAATAATAAAGCAT